CAAATTGCGTGTTTGAACTTGTTTCGCACATCGACAGTAACGAGCAAACAAAATATATATTGTTAAAAACCAGTGATTTTTATTTTATTTATTTTTATTTATTTATTTAATTTTTATTATTATTATATATTTATTTTTTTTTTTTTTTTTTTTTTTTTTGAGAAAAGAGGATGATAAACACCCCCATTTTTTTCATATGACCTTGTTCGATGTCTACAGTTTATGCATTCACACCAATGACCATTTTCCTTCCTTTTTAGAGTGAAGATGTACGTCGAGGACAAAAACAGCCACCAAGGACCCATCTCCTTCAGTGTTGTCTCCACGATGACTGTGGGCGAACTAAGAGAAAAGGTTTGTGGGCTTTTTGTTTACATTTTGCCCTGTTGATGCTACGCTGGGAATTGTTTATAGGTTTATAGTTGTTATGTAGTTTTGTATAGGTTTTTAGTGTGTATAGTTATATGGTTTTGTATAGTTGTATTGTTTATGTATGTGTTGTTTTCGTGAAGTATAGTTGTATAGTTTGTGTTTTGTATAGTAAGTATATATAGTTTATGTACAGTCGTATAATTTTGTATAATGCATATTTATGTTATGTATAATTTTAAAGCTGTATAGTTTTGGTAAGTTTGTATAGTTTTTGTAAAGTTGTATATATAGTTAATGTATAGCTGTTTAGTCTATATATAGTTGTATCCTCTATTATAATAGTATAGTTTATATCATAGTTGTATAGTTTATGTATAGGTGTGTATTTATGTAAAGAAAGGAAGGACAGATATTTCTCAAGGCAATTCCTGCTTCCACATATTCAATGATTTAATGACACACGAACCTAAACCTGAACACACTCCCCACATAACGCTTCCCTCTTCTTCTTCTTCCACTTCCAAGGTTTACCAGAACTTCGGGTTCCCGCCCCACGTGCAGCGGTGGATCCTGGGCAAGCGGCTGGCAGACGACGACTCCAGCAGCCTCGAGCAGCACAAGGTCACGTCGGAGGGCTGCCCGATCTTCCTGTACCTCGTGGCGCCCCAAGCGGAGACCCAGGACAAGACGTACCAGGCCCCGCGGAGGACGGAGTACTCGTACGCCGACGCCCTCTCGAACGCCGTGGCTCCTCCTCCGCCCGCGAGGAGCCTTAGAGAGGAATGCGACGAGGTCATCTACGAGAATATCTGTTCGGAGAGGGAGGACTACGAGGCTCCGGCGAGGAGCGAAGCCGCGAGGCCGAAGCCGGTGCCACAGCTCCGGCAAATGCAGGAAGTGAAATACGCCCCCGTGTCTCAGAAGGTCGAGATTCGTTCGAATGTGAATGGCGTGGCTAAGACGCGTCGCGGGTCTGATTCGTCTTATGGTGGCGTGTATCAGAAGCAAAACGTCGCGCAGGTAATCCAGTTTGGAAAGGCTCACCCGCCAGCGAAGAAGACGGAGGAGACGCTGCTGCAGCCGACGAAGGCGACGAAGAGGGAAACGACGGAGATGACCATACAGCTGCAGGCCCCGCAGCAGCAACAGCAGCAGCAGCAGCGACTACAACAGCAGCAGGAACAGCAACGACAACTACAACAGCAACAATTATTACTACAAAAACAGCAACAACAACAGGAACAACTATTATTACAAAGACAGCAACAGGAACAACAACTATTATTACAAAAACAACAACAACAACAGGAACAACAGCTATTATTACAAAAACAGCAACAGGAACAGCAGCTATTACTACAGAAACAGCAACAGCAGCAGTACCGACAACAGCAGCAGCAGCCCCAACAGCCAGCGGCAGCGAAGCCCGAGCCATCCGCACTGAGCCCGCCATTGCAGTTTCCAACCCAAAAGAAAACGGAAAAAATACCCGACAGATCGGAGCCACTCACGAACGCAAGACAGCCGCAGCAGAAAGGGACACAGCAAGCACAGCAGCCGACGCAAATCGCCGTTTCTGCCCCCCAGCCGCCCGGCAGCACAGCAGAGGCGGTCGACACCAGCAAGCAGCAAGCCAAAGCAGACGGCAGCGTCGCCAAGAAGAAGTCGGCGCAGAAAGGCTCTTCCCCGAAGCAGAAGCAGAAGCGGGCGCAGCAGCCGGCCAAACCGCAACCAACCCCGCCCAAGGAGCAGCCTGTAGCGCAAGCCCCGTCGCCAAGCCAAGCCCAGGCAGCGACCCAAGCGCAAGCACCCGCCCCGGAGACTCCACCGGCCAAGTCCCCAACGACGGCGAGGGAGGAGAGCCCGGGAGACGCCAAGACCCTGATGGCGAAAGTCCACGGCTGGATGTGCCCGACCTGCACCCTCGTCAACCGGTGGGAGCGCCCCGGGTGCGAGGCGTGCGCGACCGAGAGGCCGGGCTCGGAGCCCCTGGGGAAGGGCGCGGCGGCGGAAAAGGTACAGGAGGCTTCGAGTGTTGTGCAGTGAACGTATGTGCACTGGATTGCGCATAGTGTTTGGATATATAGCAGCATAGTTAGGGCTACCCATGTGTGTGTGTGTGTGTGTG